CACTGCATGAAAAGCCAAGTATTCAGATGTGAATACGTGCGAATATCAATTTGAATATGATGAATATTCACACGTATTCACTGATATTCACTGCGAATATCCTCGGAATATTAGTAGTATTCAGATGTGAATACCTTAGAATAAAACGCACCTCATATTCTCACCTAGAATACGTTTGAATATTGTGTGAATATTTTTGGAGGCATAGTATTCACACTTGCGTACATTATTAAGTGATTTTGTGTCGATATTAAATAATCAAGATATTATTTTGATCAAATATGTGTAGTGATTGTGATTATATAGCTAAGTTTTGCTAAACTGCGCATCAGAGTACTTGCTTCCTAGTGATTCTGCAATTGTCTGGCAGTTATCGAGAATTGGGATTCTACTTGGTTGGTTGACTAAACGATTGTCAGTTGTTGACTCGACGATATTTTGGTTTTTTAATACTTTCTATGTCATCATGTCATGCTAACTTATATAAATCTGAGTGCGCTGTATGCCCCTGAACTTATCTCAAAATTTACGGTAAATAAATATTGAAAAGAATAATATAAATTTACGTACATCGCTAGGCGTAAGGGGTTATAGATATTTACATATACACGGGCCAGACAGAGCTCGGACGGACTACATTTCGCAACGAAACTTTGGAATATTACTAATTTTGTGATGCTCTTTCAAGCTGTGATGAAATTTTTGCAATGAAATTAGACTAGCAGAAGTCTATCTTGAGTCAGTAATGAATGAAAATTATCTTGAATGGAAATTTCAAATTTTCGTAATGGCTAATTTCCTTCACGACATTTTGGCGACATTATTGGCGATATAAAATTGCGGCGCGCAAATTGTAACATTGATAATAATCAGTTTATTAAATATCACTCACCTGCAAATTCTGCAAACAAGAATTTGTCCCACTGTTTGAAAGGGGGAAAGCATTGTTTTACAAAATAATATAACGATATTGAATGGAGCTATATGTGGTGGAGTTGCAGATTGCCTTAAATACAAATATATAAACCCTGGAATTGTTTAAATTTCGTCAAATATCAAAACATGATGGCTGATCACAGCATGTTGTCAGCAGCTCACAGCTGGTATGTTGATATACAAAATATTAATAATTGACCAAAAGGCTGGCACCATAGAATAGGAAATAGAAGGGCAACTCGAGTGTGAAATTTTAAATTTTGCATGTTGACTTTGATCACCAGTATTCTGGGCAGTATTAAAACACTAAACTGTCATCAAATTGAGAGGTTATGCATGCTTTGCCCACTACTATATGTTGCCTTCATTTCCTATTCTATGATGGTACTAATTATAAATTCTACTAAATTGTACTAAGTGGCGGCAGCTGATTATTTACTGCTCAGGGGGCTCGATGAGGAACTCTGCAGAAAATTTAAATGGAATTCTCAAAGCCCCCCCCTTTCCGTCCCCACACCTAAGCAAAAAAAAATTCGGAGAACCTCTCCAAACTGTTAGTGAAGCATTTCATTCCTACAGTCAAACCGGGTGTTCTCTTGCGTGCAACATTGCAATATTTTGTCCCGCAATATTGCAATTTTGATAAGCAGGTTGTATGATCTGAGAAATTGCTGTGCTGAGTGGTAATATATTACAACCTGAAATAAACAAGCAGAAACTCGATGTTTGGAGCGAAGGCCCTTGCTTAGTTACTACTAGGGCCCTTGCTTGAAACATCCAGTTTCTGCTTGTTTATTTTAGGTAGTAATATGACTACTCAGCACAGCAATTTCACATTGGTACTACCCACACTAGTACAGACAGTTTTAGGTTGCTCTGAGCAATTTGCAACCGACGCAAACAAATTGCAAGTTGAAATTCACAAAAGATCTGTAAACAAAGCCTCTGATTGGATTATAAGAAAGATGGAAGCCAAACAATAGTCCGAGCAACTGGATTGGTGCTTGCAATTTGTTTATGTCGTTTGCAAATTCCTCAGAGCAATCTGCCTATCAAAATTGCAATATAGAACAGCAATGTATGCTATAAATATTTTTATTATTTTATTATTATTAATATTGCAATGTTGCTTGCAAGAGAACATCCAGTTTTACTGTAACATTTTTCAAAACATATCACACAGAGGCTTCAGTGTGATCATAGTCTCTCAAGATATGATAGTTGGGAATCCTGGCAAACTTCAAAGCCAGAAATTGAAAAAAGAAGACCTTTGTTTGATGATGAACTGTACCTAGCTCACCGCATGCACAAATCCTTTGTCTCAACTTCATGAAATATTATTATTCATCATGGTTTGAATGATAGCATTCTCCCTAATGAGTAAAATTGTCTGGCGTTAGACAGAGTAGAATAATAAAGTAGGGTGCATCTGGGTGCATTGCCATTTAAGGGGTCTTGATTATTAGCTACTGTATTGCATGTAAGCACCACCTATAAATTCAAGTTTCACTCTCTTTTATGCTAATACCTACATAAACTGATTCATTTGCAAATAATTAGAGCTGCAATGATGTTTCATGTATACTATACAACATCAGTAGCATAATTTGAACATTAACATTTTAAGTATTCATTAATGGCTAGTGAACTGATTGCCAAAAGATGTAAAAATATCTTAAAAATCAGCTGCCCAAAGATGAAAAATCTTAACTGCTTAGAAGTCTGCCCCCGACTGTGTTATGTTATATAATATTTAGTGTCCCTAACCTATACTGCCTGAATGTCAGGGGTTTCAGAATGATTAGAAGTAGGCGGTTGTACCAAAAAAGTAGCCGGCTGTGACTGATAATTAAAAAAACGCGCAAGTAGGGGGGAGTGGGGGGCGTGCCCTCGCATGGAAATTTAAAAAATTTTCGTGCGCAAATTAACAATCAAATAATATAGAATACAGAAGTGAGAAGATAAAGTACAACTGTTCACTTGTTAGATTTAGATGTCATTTGCATTTATACTTGTAAGTAACAATGTCTTTTTATTGTGCTACTTGTAGTTTAATCACGAAGGTGTTTGCTGTTCGGAAAATGAAGACGCAATTTACAAACAAAAATATGCATATTCTACGCACAGACATATTACAGTAGCTGAGTAGCATGCAGTGCGGTAGGAAGCTCTTTTTGATAATTAGGGGCTGAGAACGAGGGCCGAAGGCCCGAGGAAATTTTTTAATTTAGAGTCTCTGAAATGCCATTTCCTGGACTTTGGGGATGTTTAGAACAGAATTCTGATGGTCAGAAAACAGCGTTTTAGTATGTCGAAATTTACAATTTGTTTACAATTTAGTAGTACTAAATGGGCGAAGGCGTATTTAATTAACTATATATTGCATGGAGAAGTTGCAGGAAAGTAAGGGTAATATGATTCTTTGCAGTTTGTCATGGATAATGTAGCCTCTTAAAATTAATCAATTGTCAGTATTTTAAAGGTATATTATTTAAATGATAAAGGTATGCATGCATATTTACCGATTTACGATTTGTTAAATGTTAATATCCATGTAAATGCCATGATTTCGTAAATCAATTTATACTGACAATACAATTATATTATATTTTCTCTGTTTAACAACTAAAATTTTGTTATACTATTATTGCCGTAATTTTCCGAATGGCCAACCCGATTTTCCGAATATGTTAATTCTAAATTCCCCCTCGCTACGCCCAGAGTTTTTCACTTCATGACTTTATCATAATTAATTCGTTGTCAAAGAATTAGTCACTTGCCAAAAACATTTACCAAAGTGGCTCTGAAGGTTCTCTGGCTCACTGTCAAATTCGGATTCCCCAATGGCAATGCTTAAGTCACTGTCAGAGTCAATCAGAGTTATCTTCCAGGAAGATT